ACTCCCAGTTCCTGTGATATTCCCTTCCCTTGAGGGGGACAGCTGAGCTTGGAAAGGAGGTTTCTGACTTTGGCCTGAAGGTCAGTAATGAACAGGGTACCCTGTGATGATATCAGCCTGAAAACACACATAAAACCAGGAACACGGCCAGCTGGCAGCTCAGTCCTGTGTGCATTAACATCAATTCCCTCATGGAAGCTGCTTCTCCTCCTTCAGCAGGGCTGTGCTGCATTACCTGCAGCTGGACCCACAGCACCACCAGTTTGAGCAGGGAGCTGTTCCCTGAGGCTGCTGAAGGATTCTTCTCCATCCTTCTCCCCCTGCTCAGTCCCACTTGGTGCCTCTGCCTCGCTGGCTGCTGTCTGGGTAAGTCTGAACCCCAATTGTGCCTCCAATGACCACATTAATTTGGATATCTCTTCTCTGTCCAGGTGATGATTGCCACACAATGAACACAAACTCATGTCTTCAGAACTTCTCCCGTGTGATCAGGTTTGACCGAGGCGCTCAGCAGCTTCTAGAATGGAGGATGGACTGAGGGGAAACATAACCTTTATTTTGCTACACAGGAGAAAAAAAAATACAAAAAAGGTCCCTCCATTATCACAGTTATAATGGTACAAAAAGTGTTTAGGGAGGAGTCTCCTGGGTTTGGATTGGGATAGAGTCTGGAAGAGTCACTGCCCTTGCCAACACTCAGTTTAACACCCTCATGAACTGCCTCTGAATTTGAATGTCTGAGTCTCTGCACTCAATCTTGATAAACTGGCCCGACCACGAATGCTAATCACCCTGATTTACATTGCCTGCAGAGCTATGGACAACTTCATATCAGCAACCTCGCAGCTCCCTTGGCATGTTCCAACGGGGAACTTCCCCCGTGCCTCCCGGGCACTGGAGAGGAGCCCTGGGAGTGAGGGAATGAGCACTGGGAGTGAGCACTGGGAGTGGGGAGTGAGCACTGGGAATGTACTGGAAGTGAGCACTGGGAGTGAGCAGTGTGCAGTGTGCAGTGAGCACTGGAAGTGAGCACTGGGAGTGAGCAGTGTGCAGTGTGCAGTGAGCACTGGGAGTGAGCAGTGAGCAGTGGCAGTGTGCAGTGAGCACTGGGAGTGAGCAGTGAGCAGTGGCAGTGTGCAGTGAGCACTGGGAGTGTGCAGTGAGCACTGGGAGTGAGCACTGGGAGTGAGCACTGGGAGTGAGCAGTGGCAGTGTGCAGTGAGCACTGGGAGTGGGGAGTGAGCACTGGGAATGTACTGGAAGTGAGCACTGGGACTGAGCCCTGGGAGTGAGGGAATGAGCACTGGGAGTGCACTGGGAGTGAGCAGTGAGCAGTGGCAGTGAGCAGTGAGCACTGGCAGTGTGCAGTGAGCACTGGGAGTGAGCACTGGGAGTGAGCAGTGTGCAGTGGCAGTGTGCAGTGAGCACTGGGAGTGTGCAGTGAGCAGTGTGCAGTGAGCACTGGGAGTGAGCAGTGTGCAGTGAGCAGTGTGCAGTGGCAGTGTGCACTGGGAGTGTGCAGTGAGCACTGGGAGTGAGCACTGGGAGTGTGCAGTGAGCACTGGGAGTGTGCACTGGGAGTGTGCAGTGAGCACTGGGAGTGTGCACTGGGAGCTTTGTCTGGCAGGAGCTGCAGCAGGAGCAGGGCAGGAACACCTCAGCCAAGGGAACTGCTGTGCTTCAAAGACCCTTCTCTTTTTCGGCTCTCCAAGTTCTAAGGATGTAGGTAACACACAGGAAAAGACATTTTCAGTTACATTTGGATTCTGAACACATAAAAAATACTTAAATTTGAAACTTGCGTCTTCCCAGCAACAAGTGGAGCTGCTCAGAAGAGCCAAGGCAGGATTTGAGGCAGTGTCCTCTCCCTTGGTGTGAGCTAGCAATGAGCACAGGGAGTCAGACACAACACATACATCAGCACGCGCCCCTATCCGGTTTTTCCATGGATGGAACCATCGTGCAGCGCCGTTCCCGAGGACAGAAGTTCCCAGGGCTGGCAGTTCCTGGTGGCAGGAGCTCCACGTGCTGCTGGGGCAGGGCGTGCAAACAGCTCCTGTTCTCATCGCCCGAGCTGCTCCTGGAAACTCCTGCCAGGGACGCTGCGCAGCTCCCTTGGTGGCAGAAGATTGTTCCTCTGCGCTTTTCTTAAAAAAATAAATAAAATGTCAAGCCCGAAAAGGAAGCCTGCTATTTTTCAAATCCGGGAGCTGTAATCATGCTAATCCATGATCGTGCTAAAGCCAAGCAAAATGCCTTTTGCATATGATGTAATCAGCCAGGGCAGCCTATTTATAACCACACGGGCTGGGAACACCTTCCCAGAAAAATACAATCAGGACAGCTTTCCCTTGCTCACATTCTTCCTCTTCCTCCCCGTATTCTTCACTTTCTTTGTGCTCTTTCACCTACTGGTGCTGCCTTCCCAGCCTTAAATCCAGCAACTTTTTAATTTTTATTTTAAACTAATGCTTCCCATGCATTCTATTTTATCTGTGCTTTAGATCCGTGCTGAGTGAAATCGCAGCCCTGTGAAATCAATACCAAAACTTCTATTGATTTCATATAATATATTCCTTTAAATTCAGTACAAATGCTCCACAGGAATCGTCTATTTTAAGTATGGATCTACTGTACAGGGCTGTCAGTCTCTCAGCTGGATACATAAACCAGCGTGGTTTAATAAATTCATTGGTGTGGCCTGGGAGCTTTCCGTGTAATAACTGAAAATCTCTTGGTCATACTGAGCATATCAAGTGTAAAAGGAGAGGATTCATCAATGTGAATATCTATCTGTGGATCGATGGGTATCAATCTTGTTTAACAGTCTATTTCCTCAGGACACACTTTGGGAACAAAGAGCATTTCAAACTGTTGGTTAAACAAACAAATATAGAGAAGCTCTTTGGGCAACATGGGGGTGGAGTAAACACCAGATAAAAATGGTCAGCGATTTCAAATACCTGGTAATCTCTCCCATTTCATATTAGTAAATACAGAGTTTCCCTTGTTGCAATGTGCCCATTAAAATGCACCAAGAATGGGAGTTTTAAACCATTTTTTGATTTCAGAAGAAAGTGGCATGGAAACCAACATTTGTCCCCTGACCTCCATGTTCAGTAGTTGTCCAAGGAGGAGGGTGACACCTTCTGCTCTGCAAGATTTGTGTTATCCTTAGCTAAATAAAACCCCCTTATGAGACGCTGTAAAAACAAAACCAAGCCCCAGAGGACACAGAGCTAATTAGATCAGGATGCACTGCTCACCTCCATCTACAGCAGCAAGAGATTTCACGCCTGTCCCATTCTGGTCCAAGCGCCCCCAAAATAAAGAAAATCCCGACCAGTACTTGGCATGACTGTGCACAAGCACGCATTTTGGTGCAGAGCAAAGGTTGTACAGCCCCCGGGGGGTTTGCAGGGTAAAAGTGCCCGTAAAGAGGCAGGTGAAACGAGCCCCTGGTGTTGTGCAATGTCCTGTGGCAGTTGTGTGGCTGCCTGAGGTGCCATCGCTTCCTCCCTCCGGCTGCCGAGTCAGGTTTGGGGTTTGCAGTGTGCACCACCCTTGTGCACCGCCCCGGGCCCTGGGTGGGTGCAGCGCTGAGCTGAACCTTCATTGAGCTGAACTCTCCGTGAGCTGAGCTGAGCTGAACCTTCCCTGAGCTGAGCCCTCCCTGCACAGGCAGGAAACTGAGGCACGGACCCCGCTCCATTGCTCGCTGATGAATGCAATGGCAAGGGCAAACCCAGTGTGCCTTCAGCTGGACCTGATTCTCCTGAGCCCTTATCTGGCGTCCTCCTCCTCCAAATCATCATCATCTCTTCATCAAATAAATCCCCAGAGTTTTCCAGCAAAGCACTTCAGTTTTCATAGACAGACCTGGGGCGTGCGTGTTGTTCTACATTAAATCAAAAAGCAATCGTGTCCCACAGAGATTTCGCAGTTTTTGGAGTCGTTTGGGGTGTTTGCAGTTTTTGGAGACGTGCAGTCCACATCCCCACACTCTCAGGGATCCTCACATTTTTGCTGTTGTGGGATCAGTGGCTGTGCAGGGGTGACTCTGCTGTGGCACTCGGGGCTTTGCAGCCCAGTTCAGGGCCAGGGTCCCGCAGCCGCCTCCAGCCCCACGGAGCGTCCCCAAGGTGCCCCCCAGCGCCGGGGCCACCCTGCTGGGCTCGGGGGGGAGATTTCCGCGTGGCTCACGTTCCCATGGAGCCCAGCAGCCGAAAAGGGGAGCGAAGATGAAAATTATCCCGCTCTGCATTAACGCAGCCAGCTTAGTGTGGGAAAACACTCTCAAAGCGCTGCTGCCTCAACTTTTTCACACGTGCCTCACGTTTTTACTCGCTGTTAAAAATACTACTGGCTCAGCTTCGGCTGCTTCCCAGAAATCGAGACTTTAAAGAGTCCTCAAACAGCTGAACCAAACCAGCCTAATTGCGCTCCGTCTGCATCCGCTTTTAAAGCCCCTCCAGCCGCCCTCCCCACCGCGGGACTCCGCGCAGCTCCCGGGGCTCTTCCCGTGCCACCTTATGGAGCGACAAAGGGAAGAATGAGCATTGTCCCGGGCTGCTGCTTGCTTTAGGGGAGGGGGGAAAAAACTCTTTAAAGCACGCTGTAAACGGCGCAGGTGAGACAGCAAAGGTGCTGTCGGTGTGCGGGCAGAGAGCGGCGGTGCCCGGTGTTTGTTCAGCGGGGGCGGCCCGGGCTGCCCCGGCCCCGGGGGCTCTCGCCTTTGTCGCCCGCCGGGGCGGGCCGGGCGCGGGGACTACATGGCCCAGCGTGCCCCGCTGCGCGGATCAATGGGGCTGATTTGAATAATCTGTGAGCCCTTGGACTCAGGCCAATCAGCCGTCAGGGACCCATGATAAATCGCAATGCATTATTGATAATAATAATTACTCTGACATGCGCATTCCGCCCAAATTTCCCAACTCTAGGAATTTGTTGTGAAGAGGAAAATAATTGCTACTATTGCATGCTCCCGATGCTGGTGCACCATGTCGCGACGGAAGCAGGCGAAGCCCCAGCACATCAACTCCGAGGAGCAGCCCCCAGATGCTGCAAGTGGTGAGCGCAGAGGGGCGCGGGGCGGCCGCGGCTCCGGGCTCGGCTGGTGCGCGGCGGGAGCGAGCGGCGCTTCCCGGGGCGCTTTTCCAGCCTCGTGCTTCGCCCCCCGCGCCTTTCCCCCCGCGGGCTCCGCCGCCAGCCGGCCCAGGGCTCGCCCCGGGTTTTTTTGGGGGGCTGAGCGCGGCGCGGGCTCCGCGTTATTGTCGGGCGATTCTGCTCGGGGACGGCCGCGGAGCGCAGCGATGCCTCGCACGCTCCCCCCGCGCCCGCGGAGCCTCCGCCGGGTCCCGCGTGGGGCCGCGGCCGCGTGGGAGGGGAGCCCCAAAGGCTCCCCGAGGCGGAGGGAATTGGGGGGATGGGGGTAAAGGGGTGGGGGAGCAGGGGGAGAAATTGCAGAGAACTTCGCAGGGCTAGGAAATGGATCGGGCTGGGTTTCCTCGGCGTGCTCAGCACTTTGTCGGCAGTTAGAGGGGAATTTTTGTGGGGCTTTAAAAAAAACCAAAAAAACCAAAAACTGGGGGAAAAGCCTCCACGCTCGGACTATTTTTGTTGGAGATCACAATCGCCCTGGACCTTTTGTAGCTTGACCTCCAGCCATCTTTGATTTCCGACTTCCTAAAATAACTCCGGTGAGCTAATGCGGGGTGTGCGCGAACGCTTTGTATTGGGGCGGCGAGGGGGTCCCGGCACCGCGATCGCTCTCCCCGCTTTGGGGGACTCCGCGTTCCTGGGCCGCGCTGCGGGGAACGCAGAAATGCTGGCAGAAACCGGCCGGGGCTGCCGGTGGGGTGGGCAGGGAAGGGCAGGGGGCACTCGGTGCCGGCCCCGCGGGAGCGGGGCTGCCGGAGCGGCATCTCCCGAGCCGGACAGGCGGCTCCCGGCTCTCCCCCGCTCCCCGCGGAGCTCCCGCCGTGCCCGTCCCGCTCCCGGGCGCAGTGCGGCGGCAGCGGGGCGCGTCCCGGCCCGGCCGGGCAGAGATTGCTCGGAGTTTTTGAGGTTGTTGTGCCCTAATGTTCCCGTGTGCGCCCCAGGAACTTTCTTTGGGATCTTTGCTGGCTTTTGGGACTGGTTTTGTTTCCGTGCTTCGAACTGGTGAAAACCCATGCACGTTACGGGAGCTGCTTATTCGCAGCCCGCAGGAGGTTCGGGCTCTTTAATTTTTTTTTTCCCTCCTCCCCCTTCTCTTCTTTGAGTCGAAATGTGCAATTGTTGGGTCCGGTTAATGGTGACTTAAGAAACAGCATGCTGGCCAGAAGGCAATAAATCCCATGTTTAATGCATGACTGTTTTCCTTTGTGCATATGGTTAGGTTGGGGGATGGAGGTGATGTTTCCACATGTAAATCTCTGCCCGCTGCTGGAAAGGCACCTCCGGCCCCGCGCTGAAACAAAAGGGTTAATCACTCCTGATGCGGCGCTGGGGCGGGGGAGGCGTGCGGGAGGGAGGGAGGGAGGATCGCTCCACACCGCGCTCTCCGGGGCAATGGCCAGCTGCTTTTTTGTTATTGTTGTTCGGGCTTTTTTTCCCCCTCTCCCGTTCTCAATTTTACCAACCAAACCCTGGATGAAATCCCTGCGGAGCGCTCGGCGGCCGCCCAGGCCGGCGGACCGGGGGGAGCTGTGGCTGTGGGGGGATTCTCCCGCTGCTCGTGGGGCGCTGTGGGTTTGGGGGGTCGGGGCCGGTCCCGTCCTGCGGCATCTCCGCTCTCCGAAATGCAACCCGGGGCCGCGGCTCCGGCGGCTCGGACCGCCCGCCAATCTCCCGAATAGTCCTGATATTCCCCGCTCCAGGTGTGCCCGTAAATAATAAGTGATGAAGTTGCATAACAAAGTCGAAATTCCGCAGGGATTTGTCTGGGGCATTAGCGAGGATATACACATACTAGTAATAATAAAATCAAGCCCTTATCTCCTTTTTTGCAAGTATCCCCTTTTTTCGCAAAGCGATTTGGGACCCACCTCTGTGAACAATGCAGCGGGTTAAAGCGTCCCGCGAACCTGGGGATCCATTAACAGGTCAAAAAATCAGCAGGCGGTCACAGGGGAATAATGCTACATACTGAAAATTAGCATTTCCACAAAGGGCTTGAAAATGCCTATTGTGCCGGATTGCTGCCATTAAAAATCGGATTCATTCTTAAAAATACAGTATCAAACTGCAACTTTTTTTTTTCTTTTTTTTCTTTTTTTTTTTCCCCTCAGGGTAAAATTAGCGTAGCTTTGCTTCAATTATATCTCCGATTCGTGCGCGGAGCTCTGTAGAACTGGAGAGGGCTGTTGGCCGAGGAGAAGTTGAACGAGCAAAGCCCAAGTTTTGCGCTGGTTTATCCTAGGTTTGTTCCGCTTGCCCGAAGCTGCTGTTGGGGCCGGGAGCCCCGGTGCGGGAGCATCCCCGCCGTGCCCGGGGTGCCGCAGCCCCGGCGAGGGGCAGAGGGTGCCGGGGGCGGCGGGGGGCGATGCCCGGCTTGCTTTGCCTTTTACGCGAGTGAAACATTCATTATATTGGTAGCGGGGATGATGGAGCCCTTTCGCCGCGCTCGGCGGCATGTGACGTTTTGACAGAGCTACTGCTCTAACCTTTGCCTCCTCCTGCTTGCCGTGGGTGGTAAGTTGATGTCAGGCTCACAATTAGGACTCTCATGCAATTGACCTTGGCAGCGGGGTTTGTGCCGTTTAGCTCGCTCTTAAACACCGCGCGGGTGTTAAGCGTGCTCCAGGTAGGGCCGGGCAGGGCGGGGGGCTCGGAGCCGGCTGGAGCCCCCCCCGTGGGCACAGAGCGCGGTGCGGGGCTCAGGTGGGCCCGGGGGGCGCCGGCCCCGCCCGGGGTGGTGGTGCTGGCCCGGAGGGGTCCGAACGCGGGCCGTGAGTGCCCTCCACCGACCGGCGCGGGCAGCGAGCACCGAGCACCGGGGGCTCCGGGCCCTCCACCGACCGGCCCGGGCAGCGAGCACCGAGCACCGGGGGCTCCGGGCCCTCCACCGACCGGCCCGGGCAGCGAGCACCGAGCACCGGGGGCTCCGGGCCCTCCACCGACCGGCCCGGGCAGCGAGCACCGAGCACCGGGGGCAACGAGCCCGGCCCGGCCCGGCCCTCCACCGACCGGCCTCGGCTCCAAGCACCGGGGGCTCCGAGCCCGGCCCCGGCCCCGGAGCGGGGTGAGCCCTCGGGGCCCAGCGCCTCCGCTTTCCCCGCGGGTTTCAGCTCTTAATTTGCTCGCTCGTTCGCTGTGGTTTGTTCTGTCTTCGGCTGAATATCTCGCTTGAAGTTGTGGATAGGCCAAAGGGGGAATTAGTAAGTAGATAATAAAGTAATTGAAGCGTTGAGAGAGAGCCCGTAAGGATGTGAAATGGTGATTGTGGGGGAACGCGTTCCTGCATCGTTCTTGGGTAGAAAAACGCAGCTGGTGAATTCGGTGTGGAAAGCATCGAGGCCTTTGGAATATCTCTGTAAGTTGCCAGTTGTGCATTTTACTTACTCAAAAAAGTGATTTTGTCACAGTTAAAATGCACTAAATGGCGTTTGGTAGTGGGAGAAGGGCGATTTGGGGCAGTTTGGAGCTTTTGGAAGCCCTCTCCTTTGGAGAAGGAGAATAGCATCAGGGACCCTGAGAGCAGCAGCGAGCTGATGGCAGAGGGCTCAAGCTGATGGCAGAGGCTTCGTGTCTGGGAGTGAAGGGTGGTAATCAATCCTCTCTGAGTTAATTTAAACCGGGGAGGTGCATGGTCTTTGTTAACCTTAAAGTAAAATTGGTCAGATGTAGGCTGTGGGGAAAAGAAGCTCACCAAAGGTATCAGAACTCCTGAATAAAAAAAAAGTGGATGGGAAGGCTTGAGTTCTGTTTCATCCCAATTCAAGTGAAATAAAGTTGAGAAAAAAAAGTCACTATTGGCTTAGATGAGTGGTAGGCCAGCAGCCCCCTTCTTGAAATCACATCAAACCAGCTTTACTTAACTCCTTTAACTGTTTTCCTTAAAAAAAAAAAAAAAAATCATTTGAGCGGTGTGGATTTTATCAGCCTTCCTTGTCGATGACCGCCTTGTCCTACACAATAGTGGATTTTATCCATCCATTTGCCAGTGATTCAATCTAACCCCCCTGCTGGGTTTACTGCATTCTTCTAACTTATTGGATAACTAGATGCTGAGAGATAACATTCCTGAAATTCGGGGGTGGGGAGATAAAAAAACCACAGTAGAAGTCCTGTCCCTGGGAAGCCTTTGGGGAGGGTTAAGTGAAGTGCAGGGGAATTGTCGTGGCAGGGCAGTGCTGGGTAAATCCTCATGGTCGGTGGGCAGAGCTGCCCTCCTGGCATGGGGAGCCCCGAGTTCAGGCTGTTATTTCATTTCTGTGGTCACTGCTGGGCTCGGGGCAGTTGAGGGGCTCTGATGGCAGCACTTGGGCCAGGGAAGAGGAGCTAGATACAAATCAGAATGATTTTCACAGAAGCTGTTGGGTTTTTTACAGAAACCATCGATTGTTCCTTTTGTTATTCCAGCTGCTGTAAAATAACCCAGCGTCCTACTTGTGAATTTATCTAAAACCCTTTCTTTAAGGTAAAATAATGCATAACTCCCCTATTTGTCATGCAGCAAGTCGTTTCAAGCTCTGAATTGAATTTATGCAGAGTCCAGCTAATGCTTCACTGTGGAGAAAGGAGAATGTGTGACAGGGCAGGGCTGCCGGGCTCTGCTGCCCAGCACAGGCACCCTCAGTGCACTGGAGTCTTTCTCTGAGATGGCCACTGCTGCTCTGAACCAGGAAAGTCACCAGAGCTCCTCAGAATTACGAGAATGAGGAGCGTGGGCTGTGCTGGAGATTGGGAAAGGAGCATTGAATTGAGTGTGATCTTATCAGCGCAGAAGTAGAAAAATAAGAAGTATTATCATGGGAAAGGAGATAAATGATCGGATGCTTTGAAGCAGTTGAAGTTTGAGGACTTGTCTAGACATTATCCTGGAATATCTCCTTGGGGGTGGGCAGCAGTGTTTGGTGCAGACATTTCTGTGCCACTGGAAAAAGTAAAAGCTGAGGTTATTTTTTATTATTTCATGACGTGGAAACAGTGTTGTTCTGCCAGGGGGACGGGACTGGGAAAGCCCCAAACAATTAAAGGATTTGGAAGAGATTTTTATGTTTTAGTATTCTATGAAATCCTATTTTAGTATTCTGTGAAACAGGAAAGTAGTCAAAAACCTCCCAAGTCAGCGTAGAGTAGTTCTAGAGGTTTTCTCTTTTTTTTAATCCAGGTGCCTTCTTTCCAAGTATATCTGCTCAGAGTCCTGCAAAACGAGTTTAAAATAATCTGTTCTTGATGCTGGTTGACTCTGTTGACCAAGTTCTGAATTGTGCAGTAGTTGTACTTGCCTGCAGGCTGGGTTTCTCTGTGTTTTTAGAGTTAAATCAGCTTTAGAGACATCCCTGTAATGATATCTGGGGTGGGAAATGTGTGCTGCCATCCTTGTTTCTGTCACTTGCAGGAGTTGTTTGGGCTGAAGGGGAGGTGTTTAATTTTCCCTGCTTAAATGGGAGAGGCATCCAAACATTTTTGATCGTAGCTGTGCTGAGAACTCCCTTCCTCCCCGTTCAAGGACTTGTGCAGGTTTGGGTTTATTGCTCTGCACATCACAGCAGAACAGGCCTCTGATACTTGCGAATTTTAGTTATTGATCAAATGTTTATTTTTACAAATAAACTTTCACGTGCACTTGGTGCCACACAGCATTAAACGGTTGAAGTTTCCTTTGTTGAGCACACACAGTGCCCTCGCTGAGGTCAGAAATGGCAAGGGTTGCCATATCCTCCCTCAAGCAGGGCGATGTGCTCGCCTTGTCACCTGGACACGTCCCCTCCACGTTCAGGACACACCCAGGTGTGGTTTGGCCTCACCTTGCACCGACCAAAGCCACGAGAAGCTCCTGAGCTTCACCTGGTCCCACCCTGGGGGCAGCTGGGGGGTCTGGGCAGGGGGGACACCCTTCCCTGAACCCCCTGCACCCGTGGCACCCCCGAATGGGAGCAGATCCTGGGGGCTGGAGCTGGGGGGTCTGTGGTGACACCCTTCCCTGAACCCCCTGCACCCGTGGCACCCCCGAATGGGAGCAGCTCCATGGGGAGCCCTGGGGGCTGCGATCCTGCCCCAGCCCTTTCTGCTCCCCCTCGCTGGGAGTTCTCCCTCCTGCCCTGAGCTCTGCCCCACCTGCAGCAGGCTGGGAGTTTGTTGTTTGAGGGATGGCAAGGCTGAGCAAAAACATCCTGTTTTGGTTATCGTTTCTGTTAACCTCTTGCAGTTCAGATATTTCCCCGATTTTTTTTTTTTTCTTTTTTTTGGTCCATGTACAAGTTCTGCTCAGTCTGAACCGTGCTGTGCTGCTGGTGGAAGGGCAGGAGGGGACTCTTGGCTTTCCCTGCCCCTTCCCGGAGTGGGTGAGTGGTGGGTGCAGCTGAAGGAGGCCTCCTGCGAGGTCGGAAATGCCCTGGTGTGGTTTTATGAGCAGGACTTGTTACTTGTATTATTTTTTAAATAATCATTGGTATCAATGGAGGCGCATACTGGAGTGCCAAGTTCCGGATTTAATCATTCTTTGCTACTGTGTCCATGTTGAGATTATTAGTGGGGTGTGTTCGCTTTCAGAGGGTTTCAGAGCTAATACTGGCCTTGCTTGCCTGTTGTCATCCCTCTCGGCTTGTAATTACTTTCGTAATGGCAGAGCAAAACTCATTTAGGTCGGTACAGTAAGAATTGCTCAAAATTCCTGTATTAATGATCTTTTATGATTTTTTGAGAGATGGTTAACAAAGAATTAGAACCTGAAGTGTAAACAGCAGAAGTCATGTGTGGTGTTTTGCTCGGTGCTTCAATGCCTCCTCTGTCCTGGTGTTCCTTTTAAGCTGTGTTGCAGGTGCTGCCTTGCAGAACTGTTCCAGGGGATTTTTACCGGTGTAAAGGGATTTGGAATGAATCTTTTTTCATTGAGCCTTGTGAGAGTTTTTTAAAAATATGTTTTTCCTTGTAAACTGAACTGAGATTATGATTTATTTTGGGTTGTGAAGGAATTGGCATCAAAACAAAGAGCGGAACTTCAGGTTGATCTGCAAACTTGATTCCAGTGTCTTGTATTTTAATTTACAATTGGGGTGGAGGCAGCGATCTTAACAGTGAATGCTTGGTCTAAATCTGGCAATTAATAATGTGACTTTCTTTTATTTTAAGGGAGTCCACAAGACGTCCCAGGTGATAGAGATGGTGAAATGAGTTCCAAAAGGTGCCGCACGGAGGAAACCAAAATCTGCGAGAAATGCTGTGCAGAATTCTTTGTTCTCTCTGAATTCCTTGAGCATAAGAAAAATTGCACTAAAAACCCGCCTGTTCTGATCATGAACGACAGCGAGGGAGCAGTGCCCCCCGAGAGCTTCCCCGAGGCTCCTCTGGGGCCCTTCCCGAGCGACCGCATGGACGGCAGGGCACGCAAGGACATTCAGGCCAAGGGCTGCGCTGCCTCCGTGGACAAGAGAGAAGGAAAAATGGATGCTGAGCCGGTGGGAGGAATGTACCTTAAAATAGAGCCCCCCCTGACGCCTGCGGCCCCCGGCCTGAGCTATCTACCAAAACCCAAAGTACCGAACACTAACGTGACCCTGCAGACCATCCGTGGCACTAAGGTGGCCGTGAACCAGCGGACGTCGGACGCCATCTCCTCCTCGGCGGCCGGGTTCAACGCCATCCCCATGATCCTGGAGCAGCTGGTGTGCCTGCAGCAGCAGCAGCTCCAGCAGATCCAGCTGACGGAGCAGATCCGCATCCAGATCGCCATGATGGCTCCCCACGCCCTGCACCCCTCCATCGCAGCTGCTGCCGACCCGCTCAAGGCTCTGGGGGCCCACATGTCCCAGCAGCTCTCGGCTGCCGTGGCTCTAATCGGACAGAAGGCTGGGAGCCAGAGCCTATCCCTGGAATCCTTGAAGCAAGGAAAGCTACCTCACTCTAACACTGGCATTGCGGCCGCCAGCTCGCTGGCTGCTGGGCTCTCCTCCTCCTTCCCCCTGAAGCCAGAGGGGAGCCGAGGCCTGCCCGGCTCCATCTCTCAGTTCCCAAATCCTTTGCTACCTCAGTCCTCCGGCTCGGTCATCTTCCAGAACCCGCTTTCGGCCGTTTCGTCCGTGATGGATTCCTCAAAGAAGGGCAAGGGGAAACCGCCCAACATCAGCGTGTCTGAAAGCAAACCCAGCACGGAGGAGCCGTTCTTCAAACACAAGTGTAAATTCTGTGGGAAGGTCTTTGGCAACGACAGTGCCCTGCAGATCCACCTCCGCTCCCACACCGGGGAAAGGCCCTATAAGTGTAACATCTGTGGGAACCGCTTCACCACCAAAGGAAACCTCAAAGTGCATTTTCAGCGTCACAAAGACAAGTACCCCCACATCAAGATGAATCCTTACCCAGTTCCTGAGCACCTGGACAATGTCCCTACCAGCACTGGAATTCCGTACGGGATGTCTGTGCCACTGGATGAGTCCAACCTGATTGTGGACAGCAAACCTCTCCTAACAACTCTGCCTACCTCTGCGGCCAGCGGCACACCTCAGGCCATCTCCAGCCTGGCAGGCATCAAGGAGGCTCTGCCTGGTACGTTCTCCGGTGAGCTGCAGTCGAGGCCCTCTCCCGAAAGCGAGGGTGGCTCCTCCTCGTCGGGGGCGGTCGGTCACGAGTCGGGAACGGAGCAGAGCTTGAGCTCACCACAAGCTGCCTGCAGCGTGAGCATCTTCCACGTAGGTGGGTCAAACGAGCAAGGCTCAGAGACATCCAAGCTCCAGCAGCTGGTTGAAAATATCGACAAGTCCACTTCTGACCCCAACGAGTGCCTGATCTGTCACAGAGTGCTGAGCTGCCAGAGCTCGCTGAAGATGCATTACCGCACCCACACCGGGGAGAGGCCGTTCAAGTGCAAGATCTGTGGCCGTGCCTTCTCCACTAAAGGGAACCTCAAAACCCACTATGGTGTCCACAGGGCCAACACCCCCTTGAAGATGCAGCACTCGTGTCCCATTTGCCAGAAGAAGTTTACAAACGCCGTGGTGCTGCAGCAGCACATCCGCATGCACATGGGCGGGCAGATCCCCAACACCCCCATGCCTGAGCCCCCCTGCGACACCGAGGGGGATCCTGCCCTGCCCGAGAAGAACGGAGACATCGGGCGCCCGGAGGAGATCGTGGAAAGCATAGACATGGAAGATGACGTGGACTCTCAGGATGGCCCCAGGAGCTCCTCCAAACCTCCCACTCCGTACGATGCACAATCAGAGTCGCCCGCCGCAGCCGCCTCCTTCTCTGGGGTTGCAGCGCTGGAGAGCCAGATGAAGATGGTGGGCTCGTCGCTGAGCTTGCAGCGGCAGAGCAGTCTGAAGTCCAGCGACAACGGCTCGGCAGAGAGCGACGGCATGACCAACGACTCGTCCTCGGTGGTGGGCGATGCCGACTACCAGAACGGCCGCAGCCCTGCCGCCTCCGAGGCCGCCTCGCTGCAGGCACCGTCCCCGGCCAACAGCCAGGCTGAGAGCGTCAGGTCCAAGTCACCTGCCTTCACCAGCCAGGAGGATTCGGGCACGGGGAGTAAAGCAGAGGGTGCTGAGAACGCTCCTGCGGAAGTGGAAGGTGTTGTTGGAGCTCTGGATTTAACGTACGGCAACATCGGGCGGAAGGTCATCAAGGAGGAGCCTGGGCTACACTTTGCTAATGGAGAATATGGTGAGTGATGCACAGTGCTGGCAGGGATTTGGGGTGGGGCAGGAGGAAATCAATCCTAAAAGGACCAACAGGAAACAAAACTTTGTCAGCTTTCCCCTCTTCCTGCTCCTCTGTTTGGATAGGACACAGGCCCTGTAAAGTTTTCCTGACTAAGTCAAGCCCAAAATTCTAAGGCTTAACTGCTGCCATCTCCTTAAAATTAATGTAGACTGTGCCCTCTCTGTCTTTCATGGGCTCATTTGATATCTCGTTATAGCTCTTTAAAAATACACATTTATGTGTTTAAGGGAAAACTGCTTATCCCGAGAGTGTGATATGGAAACCCTAAAATAGTCTGTGGGGTTTTCAGCCTCTGTAGCATTGAGGTTAAGGTTGATCTAAATTTGACCTGAAAGATTTGTATCTCATAAGCTCACCAACAAACCCAGGGATGAACTGATTGGTTTTGGGGTATCCTAGGAAGTGCGGTGGCCTCTGCAGACGTGCTCTTCAGGCACATACAGCTTCAAAGGCAGGGCCTGGATTCTCAGCCAGGCTTAGGCTTGGAAGCAGAATTAGGCAGGGATATAAGCACCGCTTTTGCTTTCCTTCCAGGTCGCAGCAGTATCCCAGCTGCGTTTGTCAGAGCCCCACCAGCCCTGATCAAAATGGAGCTGCCCAGCGATCGCCCCCTCAGCGCCGGCCCCTTCATCGGCCCCCCAGCTCTGTCCCCCGGGGTCGCCCCTCTGCTGGTGCCGCGCCCCAAGTTCTGCCGTCCTGCCAAACAGCACATCTGCACTACCTGTGGCAAGAACTTCTCCTCTGCCAGCGCCCTGCAGATCCACGAGCGCACCCACACCGGGGAGAAGCCCTTTGCCTGCACCATCTGTGGGAGAGCCTTCACCACCAAGGGCAACCTGAAGGTGGGTCCCGTCTGTTGTCATCTCCTTGGTCTGTGAGACTAACACTGGGGATCAGAAACCAGGGTTTCTGATATTTGACCTGCCTCTGAGGCAGCGCTGATCTCTCTTAGTTCCTCGAATACTTACTTGTGACCCTTGTCTCTTTCCTGAGCTTCTCCACATAGTTTTTTTGTGTAAGTGTTACTGAGATCACCCTCAGGTCTTTGCTGCTGTCCTTGACTTTTCTTTTGGGATGGAAGGGGAGGCTTAGCCCTCACTAAGCAGATTGCTTTCTTTTTTAATTTGGATTTAGATGTGTCAAGACATAAGCATTTCATAGACTGCTACAAAATGCTGCCTGCTGAGTAAGTGCATTACACTGCACTGCTTGAAATTTTGAGAGATGAGGAGGGATAAACTGGGATAATCCTGAGATGGCACAAAGTGCTTGAGGATTGTGGCTAAGCACATGCTGAAGAAGTGCTGTGAGTCTGTCCTTCTGCCAGATGAATCCATTTGTCCCGTGAGGGATTCAGCTCCCTCACTTGCACAGAGGCTTCTCCCTCCCTGTGAGAACCTCTTCAAGCTCTTCAGTCCTCTTGCATAAATACTGATGGGGAGAGAAAACACTCCAGTGGGTGAGCAGTGCCTCGCTGGAAGCACCAGCAGAATGTGGTGTGAGAGATTTCAGCTTAAATGAACCTCTGCCAAATTACTTGGTGGTTTTTTTCATTACTCAGAATTTTTTGAGTGTTGTCTGTTTGCAGCAGATAATGTGGTTCCTGTTTTGAGGGCAGAGAGGGTGTCTTTGCCAACAGCACTTATTCCAAGTGTAGAACACAGTCCTCCAAGCCCTCTAGCAGCCAGCTCCAGAGAGCCACGGTGATGTCAGGCAGTGAATGACTGTGTCTGACACATGCCACGAAGGGAACTCTGACGTGAGCCACCCAGCTCAAATATTTACCTGAATGCAAGTGGAGCAAGCCTGACTTCTTTGGGCTACCTGCCTGCAAGCACAGTAGAATTTGGGTCTGGCATGGAAGAGCTGCAGGATTAACGATTCTCTTTGCAAGCCTGACTTCTTTGGGCTACCTGCCTGCAAGCACAGTAGAATTTGTGTCCACCACGGAAGAGCTGCAGAATTAACGATTCTCTTTGCTTTCCCCCCTCTCCGGAAGGTCCACGTAGGAACCCACATGTGGAACAACTCAGCCAGGCGGGGCAGGCGCCTGTCCATCGACAACCCCATGGCCCTGCTGGGCAACGACCCCAAGAAGGTGTCGGAGATGTTCCCCAAGGAGATGGTGGCGCCCTCGGTGAGCATCGACCCCGCCGTGTGGAACCAGTACGCGGCCGTGCTCAGCAACGGGCTGGCCGTGAAGGCCAACGAGATCTCGGTGATCCAGAGCGGGGCCCTGCCCGCCCTGCCCGTGCCCCTGCCCGGGGGCTCGCCCCTGAACTCGGCCCCGGCCGCCAAGGCAGAGCCGGCCCAGGCTGGCGCCGCCGAGGCGGAGAAGGCGGGCGCTGCTGCTGCAGACAGTGTGCCAAAACACCAGTTCCCTCTCTTCCTGGAGGAGAACAAAATCGCCGTCAGCTAAGGACTCGACAGGAGCTCGCCTGCAGAAAGAACAAATATATATAGACACAAACGTATATTTTTAAGAGATTCCACTTCGGCCTCCTATTTTCCTATTGACGTGCAAATGATTTTATGGTTGTCTTTGTAAGAGTTGCCCAGAGTACAATCATGATATTGCTTTGCAAATAGTAATTAATAAAGAATAGGATTTCCTTCTATTTGGAAAGATGCGGGTCTTGCAAAGTAGTTCTTACGTGTGACTTTAATGTGTACAAGCCTTACAGAAGTTTCTGCAACTTGAAATTCCAAAGGTTAGAATATTTACCTCTTTGTTTAGAGTGATAATGGGGGTTTTGAAGAGAGTGGAAACAACCTACTGTTGATGGAAAAGCTTCTATTTACTGATGAGAAATGGAAACTATTGATGCGGGTAAATATCCTAGAATGTCTGCCACCCTCTTAGAGTTTTTCTGTTTGGATTTTTGGCTCTGTGTGGTTTCTGAATGTACTTTTTCTTAATAATTGCTATAAAAACTACAAAGTTTTTTTTTAATTCCTTTGGTTTTTTGCCTCAGAAGTTCTATGAAAAGCAAGTTGCTGTTTTTCTTTAGTCACTGCTCCTAAGTAATTAATTCTTTGTGTTGTTGACTGCTGCTTATTTAATACTACTACTAGGACAGTCCTTCAAGTATAGTGCCAAAATTCCTGCTTCCAAAGATGTGCAGTTTTTCCTAGATGTTTTATTTCAATACCAAGAGCCCCAAACAAGCATGGGTGGGTATGTATATACTTTTGTTTTGTTTTGTTTCCTCTTGAAAGGGAAGACTTGCCTTGGGAAGTCAGGTCTGAAAGCTCTGCAAGGAATCTCAGGTGACTGTTGCAATTTGCCATGGGAACTGGTTTCCTTAGCAAGAGACTTTTTGTTTTTATTTTTTATTTTTCGTTTGGGTAATTTAGGAGATCAGTCTGTGTAAACCTGTATTTAAATATGAAGTATTCATGCTTAGGTTAAATGTTTTGTGGGTTTTTGGATGGCATTCCTACTCTGGTCATTAAGGTTTTTTTGGTGGTCTGTGAGCTTGCATTCCACCAAAATGGTCATTAATGACCCACGTGTGTTGTATGAAGGTTGCTGGGATAGTCATCTGGATTCTAAGTTATCTACCTCATTTTTTTCCTTTTGTAGTTGTAGTGTCTATTTTTTCTAATAATGACCACTGTAATGACTGAGATCCAAGCAGATGCTTCCATGCACTATGTGAAACCAAAAGCTGTTGTATTATTAGTGGAAGCAGCTGAGGAGTTGCTGGACTGACCTTTCACTGTTCCTCGAACGCCTGCTGGAGCTGGATGTGCAGTGGGATCTGAACCAGGCTGCAAAGGGAGCGTTTGGTGTGGAAGGACTGAAGGAGGGAGAGAAATCTGGCTGTTGGCTGCGGGAAATCCTCTAGTCCAGTCTCTTGTGGAAGGCCCCAGAAATGCAGATTTACCAAAAGTTTGTGTGATGTTGTTGCACCTGATTTTGCTGATGATCCCTGTATGCCGAGTTGTGCCTTTCCTGCTGGACTCGTGGGTAAGAACATACCAGTACCTGTTTACACTGTAAAATGGATATTGTTACATAGACCACGCAAAAGGCATCCCAATTGTCACATTTCTACATTGTGAATGTATGACTTGGAAGAACTCTGTAGTTTTGAGTATCTACTGATGCGTTTCTGTTGACATTTTTGAGAATAAATTTTGGGATGGCTTTTTCACACTTGGTGCTGAACGTTTTTCTGGCAAAAAGCTTTTAGTCGGCTGAGGAGTGAGTTCAGGAGGCAGCATGCTGCTTCACTCTAGGGACCTGAAATCCAGGAGCCAGAGTTGGGCTTTAGCTCATTGCTTAGAACGACAGGGGCTAGGGAGTTGTGGAGGAGTTGAAGATCCATTCCTCAGGAACAGCTGGGGTTTGATGCAGGGGTTGGGATGTGCCAGGGACGTTGATTTCCACTCTGGAATAGAATGACAGGGATATGTGCAATCTTTTTTGTACTGTGATCGTCCTACAAAGGGAAAAAGAATATTAAGTTGTCAAATTGCCAGCGCCTGAAGATGCTGGCTGCATGGAAAAGGATAAATAACTTCCCCTAAAGAGCAAAGAGAAACAGTTCTGAGAATAGCCCTGATAAAATGGAAAAGTGCTGAGATCCTGATTCTGGCAAAATAATCCAGCAAATGTTTTTTGCCGTCGGGAGGCAATGGGAGGAAAAAGGAACCCTAAAGCTGCACCTTTCCAACATCAGAGCTGCCTGATTGTGGTGCTCCTTGCTCAGTCCTTGGGAGTGCAGAGAGGCAGAAAGCAAACACTTGTTTTCTCATCTCTGCCAAGCTCTGAAGGAGGGTGTAGGGGAGGGCAGGATGAGTCTGAGGAAGGTCTGTCCCTGCCAGTCATGGGTTGGATTTCTGGCCAAGCTATGGGACTCTGACTGTCCTTCATTACCATCCATAGCAGTGTAATTCCATATTCACACTATGGTGTGAATTCAAACTTCAGGTGTGTTGTCCAGCAGGTTGGACAGTGAGGGGAGATGAGGAGGGAGGGAGTTTTATAAAGCCTGAGTGCTGCTCTAGAACTAAACAGCGAGGAAGGTGCTGGAACAGCAGGGCAGCATGAGGCTGTGAGGCTGTGATGGGGGAGTGGGTCAGGCTGGGCTGTGCCTGCCTTGGGGCAGAGCCCACGCACTGTGACCTGGCCTGGGGCACTCAGGGCTTGGCTCTCCTGGCCTGGGGCACTCAGGGCTCTGCTCTCCAGGCCGTGTGCCAGGTGCTGGCTGTGCCCCACGCTGTGACAGCCTGGTGCCAAGGCAGCTCCAGGCTGGAGCAGGGTCAATCCCTGGCTAAGACAGCAAGTCCTGGATCTTCCCACAGCTCCTGGGTGGCAGGTAGGACCTATCTGAGCCTCCCCACAGCAGGAGCTGGGCCACAGGGACGTTCCTGCTGCAGGGAGAGTGTTTGCAAAGCGAGCTGGGGATTACCTGCTCTGCCATGTGTGAGAGCTGAACCCACGCCTTGGGCGAGTCAGTGTGCTGGAGCTGCCCGCAGCGGCAAGTGTGCTCAGCTCACAGGAACAGCTACAGCGGCATCTCAGCAATTACCAGGGACAGCTGTGTGTGCTGTGGCCTGGCCGATGTGACTCAGGAGCGAGATTACAGAGCTGCAGCTGCAGTGGTGTGAGCACAGGGAGCTCGGTGTGGGCACTGTCTCTGCTCATCAGCCTCTCCTCTTGCCCGGAGCACTGACTTGTTGGTGTTTGTTATTGCTGGCTTAGCCCCTCACTCAGGGTTTGCAGGCTGTTGCTGGTGTGTAAGTAGCAGATGTGCTTGCATGAGCTAACGTAAAAATCTGGCTTGTTTAAAATGTCAAATTTGAACTTAAACATTGCATTGCTTAAAACAAAAACCTGAACAGTAAGTAAGTAAGTAAGTACGTTTTCTTTACCTTATTGTATTACCTCAAGTATTCCTCTAAGGAAAGATTTCTTTTAATCTGCCCTTTCTGTTCTTCCCAAAAAGTCTATGGGAACTTTGAGGAGGGAATTTGCGAGGCTGATTTGCCTTTCCACAGCTGGCAGTGGGGGAAGGACCTGGCTGAGGTGCTTGAACTGATGGGGTGGCAGAGAGGGGCTGAAACAACAGGAAAGAGATGAATATAACATTAATTTTCATTTATTTTCTGTTGAAGGCCATGGTGCTCGGGGCGGGGTTTGCAGCCTGGAGTCAGGGAAGGTGATCATTTCTGTCTGCAGAGACAGAAAGCTGCCCTGCTTCTGTGTGATCCCCTGAGGCTCCTGCTCAGAGCTGAGGCTCTCCTGGTGCTTTTGTGGCTGAGTGCTCAGCCCAGAGAGCTCCTCTGCCTCCCTGCTGGCCCGGCTGTGCTGAGTGCTGGCCTCACGTGTTTGACTTCAGCTCACATTCACCACTGACCTAGAAAAGCTCCTGGCACTGCACAGCCACAGCAGGACAGGAAACAGCTCAGAGGCACAGAAAGAGCCAGCAATTACACACTCCTGGAGCCCATTACCATGCTATCTGTTTTGTTATCGTGGCTCCTGCTTTGTGCACGTTGAGTTCACTGCACATAAAGGGCCGTGTCCTTTGCAGCATTCTGATTGCTGCTTTATTGGAAAGCTTGTTTGTTAATGCCTGTTGTGAGTGATTTTGTGCTGGACTCCCAGCCACTCTCTGGCAGCATCACTCTCCTTTTAAACTTCTTTATTGACATATCTGATGGTCACATCTCGCAGGCCGAAGATTCACTTCTCTGACTCAATTACTTTGTGCAGAAAGGGGAGTCTCAAGTCAGAGTGAGAACAGGTGGATCTCATCATGGGCCTTGTTTTGCATACTTGGCTTAGGCAAAATCCAGACACGACTAAACATTTGTGTAAATGACTCTCTAAAGAAAACTAAAACTCCAAATCCAGTAAAATTCACAATATCTATTAAATATATAGCATATAGTAGCATATATTTAATATGTTATTAAGTATATATGTTTATTTATTTGTCCCCAGCCCAGAGCACTCAGTGCCGCCTCCAGGAGTTCCTGGGACACCTCCAGGGATGGGCTCTCCAACCCTCCCTGGCAGCCCCTGCCAAGGCCTGAGCCCCCTTTCCAGGAGGGACAAAACTGAGCAAACTGAGCTGAGTCAAACACTCAGATTATGAACCCATGGGAATCTGAGGGCCAGGGACACAAACCACGGTGTGCTGTGAGCAGAAGGTGATGCAGGAGGAATGTGTGGGGAGAAGAATGACAATCTGTATTCTCAGAGTAGTGATACAGAGTCAGTCCTGAAATCCTCTGTTCACTGCTTCTCCCTGCCTCTGCAGCCCTGTGCATGATGACAGAGGGTGTTTGTCAATCAGGTTACCGGGGTTGGCTTCACAGCCCTGCACAGTCCTGTCCATCCACTTGGCAAAGTTTGTTTTAGGAAAGTTTGTCTCCATGCGGTCTACATGTTCAGAATACCAA